CGCCCTCGCCGCGAGTGTGGTGGGGCCCCGGCGCCCGGTGCGCTGAGCGCTGGCCTCCAGCCACCGGCCCGCGGGTGAGTGAGGGGGCCGTGGGGACGGGCCCGGCGTGCTCGCCGCTCGCCACCCCGGCCCGGGGGGCTTCCCGGGCGGGGCGCTCAGCGCGTCTGGAAGGGGAAGGAACGTCCCTGGCGGGAACTCAGGAGCTGTGGGGCCTTTCTGTTTGGGGGTGGGGGTGAGTGAGCAGTCTTCGTGACTGGGGTCTGTCGTGGGTTTGGGGGCAGCGGGTCTGGGTAATGGGCGAATACCCACACCCCGACACTCACTACCTTTGGTTTCCAGGGGAGACGGTTTTAAAACATAAAACCGGCGGTGTTACAGATGGGTGTGCAGTTCTTCACTCTCCGCCTGGCACACACAGGTGTGTGTACACAGTCACGTACACGCGCACCTGTATTCCTTGGGGCGGACTTTGTGTCCCCTGCTCTGGCGTCGGGCACTGGGATTAAGCCTCGGGCTTTGCAGAGTTGTTTGTTCTCGGAGACCGTAGCGTCCCGGTTGGTTCCTCGACGACGAGCCTGGCTCGCTCAAAATTCTCTGTGCATAACCTCGGACCGCCCTCGGGAACTCGGCGGCTTAAGCTGCTTTTCTCACCTGCGCAGGTGGCCTCGGCAGGTGGCGGCTGGGCCTCTCCCCCCTGCTTTCTGGAGGCGACCGCGCGGACCCGGCCTCCGGAGGAACCTTCAGCTGGGAGGAAACCCGCTGGCTTCGTCCCACACTCGTGCAGATGACTTGGGTAAGGGGGGTGATTGCTCAAATTCCAGAAATAACCCACAACGAGAATTGCCAAAGACACGCGAATGGTTCTTCGGATGAATTGCTTCGGTTGAAATGGTTTCGCGTGTGCTTTATGTTTATAAACTTATATGTAACATTAAATACAAATATATATAGAGAGAGACAAGCTCTAAATATATAGAGACAGACAAGACCGGCGTTTCTTTGTAGTATCCCCGGAATAGTTATTGGAGTTACTGGGAATTGGTAGTGGCGATCAGCCTGGCTGCTGTGAGAATCACGGGAACCGGGAACCTGTGGTTTAAAAATGATTTGAGAGACACAGCTCGGCGATACAACGCGTGGACCTTCGTTGCATTCTGATTTGACGAAAGAACGTTTTTTAAACTTGAGACGATGGAGGAAATTTGTAATTATTTGATGGGATTAAGGATATTTTTTGTTACTTTAGGTAATGGTTTGATTATGGTTTTTAGAAACGCTTCTTTTGGGCTGGCCAGTTAACTCACTAGAGAGAGAGCTGGTGCTGATACCAGGGTCAAGGGTTTGGATGCCTGTACCGGCCAGGCACCAAAAACAAAACAAAAAAACCCCCTATTTTTTGGAAGTTCAGACTGAAGTTGAAATATAGGTTGGGGATTTGCTTCAAAATAATCCAGTGTTGGAGAGCGCTGCTAGCAGAGAAGTAGGGGGAACAAGATGAGAGGAGATTGGCCATTAATCATTAATAGTTTGAAGCTGAATAAGGGATATGGCAGTCCTTACTCTCTTGTTTCTATTTTTGTGTGTGTTTGGCATTTTCCTTTAAAAATACCAGAACACCAACCGTGAAGTTTTTTTGCGGTGGTTTTTGTTTGGGGTGTTTTGGGTTTTGGGGGTTTTTTTTTTTGGCAGAAGGTAGGTTTCACACTGCAGGTAATTCTAGATTCAAGGCCTTTCACAGTCCTTCATCCTTTATAAATTGGGTATCAAGGCTGCCTCTCTAGACTGGAATCATAAAAAGTCCTCTTTTTTCCTTCCTGAGGGTGTCGATTTATTTTGCTCAGAAGGCAGAGGGTGTTTGCTGAGCATGACAAAGCTGAGCGGATCAAGTTGATGCAGGTGGATGCTGGATCAGCTTTTTTTTTATGCAAAGGGTATTAGCAAGCCTGGGGGCTGAGTTGCCTCCAGTCCGGTGGATTGTATAAAATGTGTTAGCAGTTTTTCCAAATTGCCCAAATCCCTTCCAAGTTATGCTCATCAGAAAACAGAGTTCAGGGTAGTGAACACACCCAGTATACACTTAGGATTTTCATACACTTCTGGGAGCATTTTATACATCAATGAAAAGTTTACATTAGAAAAACAAAGCACGAGATGAGTGGAGATGAGCTCTACTTATTACTTGAAAGAGATATCTGTTCTTTTTTCATATCATTACCTTGTTTGTTTCCGGGATCATGACATGTAAATACTTAGCAAAGAACTGACTCCTAAAAATTAAGAATGGTGTTAACACCAATCTTTTCCTTTTCAAGAACGCTGCTGGGGTTAGGGAGAGGGCAGATAGTATCTATCCTTGGATGTTCATCCAGCTTGCTCTTCTGTTATTTTTTTCCCTCTGGATCTATAATTCCTACTCATCCTATCCTGCTTAATTCATAATTTGGAAAAGTGGTGATTCTAAGAGGGAATTATTGAAGTTCACTAGAGGGAGGAAGGGAGGCATACTTCTGAAAGGTAAACCCACAGTTTTTAGTAGCTTCAGTGCACCTGAATTTAATGCCTCTGATTTAATGAGAAAATAAACCACAAAAATGATATCTGTGACAGTTAAAAGTTGAAGTGTTGGATGAATCCCCTCAGCCTAGACCTTGCCCATGTAGATTCACTAGTGTAAGGGAAGTTGGAAAGATGTTTTAAGATTCAGTTGAGGAATGCCGAAGCATTCTGGTTTCACTGCAATGTGTGGGGAAAATAATGAGAGAACCAATAAAAATCCAACTGAAAGTTGGGAAACAAAGGGAATTCATGCTGGTATTTAAGTGAAGGTGTTTGGCTTGCAGTTCAGTTTTCTTTGAGTGAATAAAAGAAATATGCAACTATCCAGTGACTTTATTTTCTACTTCAGCTTCCGCTCTAGTCTCTAAAATGACAGCATGGAGAGAGAGAAACTTGCTGGACCTTTCGGTGACCAGGCGGTGACCTAATGTTTACTCTCCTCTGTAGGAGGATGGTGGGATTGGACTCTGGAGAGTTGATTGCTAATAGCCGTTTTAAGGAATTACCGCAAATGTGGCTCTATTCCCCCCCCCCACACACACACACATTGTTGAAGGTGTAAACACATTAGGAAACAAATTGCTCCTTGCTGGGCTAGAAGTGAGAGGGAAGGGTGTTGGCAGTCAGGTGAGCTGTGTTCTGCATTTGCAAGCACTCTGCTTTCACCCACATCACCTCATCCCGTCCTGGGAGGTGGGGCAGGGGTGATGGAGGCTTGATTTTGGTTTTTAACAGGTGAGAACATTGAAATCTAAAGAAGCTAAGACTTGCCTTGAGTTGTTTCTTTTAGGAGCCTGGGGGGAAGGAAATTTAACTTTTATTGAGTGCTAAATAATGGTAGTCTTCATACATGTTTTTAATTCTCACAGATCTCTCTAAGTTGGGTATTAGCTCGTTTTCCATATGGAAATTGTAGCTGGAGATAGTTTGCTTGAGGTCTTGCAGCTAGTAAAAGAAAAGCCAAGATTCAAACTCACACTGTCAGACTTGTCTGTGTTATTTCTGTCCTCTCTGCAGTCCCACACTACCTTTAGCAGACAGCAGAGCTACAAACTCAAGAGCTGACTGGTGTGGGTAAATTGTCTTTTCGCCACACCCGACTGCCCTAGTGAAACAGGGCATGGGCCACATCCAACCATCAGAGGTGTTTTATCAGGCCAGTATTAGAGTTAAACAGAAAAAACTGAGCCAGCATTGAAAATTGCGAAATGTCAAATATTCGCCCCCAAAGATGCCCGAAGGCAGTACTACCAGAGCAGCCTCTTCTTTAGGGAAGGGTGGCATTCCAGTTCTCCCTGGACTCCAGTCCCTGAAGTGTCCCCCATCTTTGAGGTTGCACTGTTATTTCTCTTACAGTAAGAGATCTGTGTGTCTTTCTATCCAAAATGAGATAACAAAAGATAGGTTGAGAGGCTCTTGTCCCAAGAAAAATTGGAAAGTACATTCCTTTGAGGGAACGTTTACTGTGCAGTGCTTCTGTGACAAAAGGATACAAGTTATCATCATTTTTCTCACACCCTGACTGCTTTTCTCATTTACAGACAACTTCTCAGTTTGCTACCCCTGCAGCACAGAAATGGAATAGATGTGTGGGCAGGCCTCAGTAGGGAAGAGGAATGCCTCCAGAGTCTTGCACCATTCATTCTTTGTGAGTAGAAGGTGGGTCTTGTGCACCTTGGGGATTACCCAGGTGTCTTGCAGGGGTGGGGCACCAAAAAATCCTCCCTCCTTACACAGCCTGACTTTGGGATCCAGTGGACCCAGAGGTTGTGGTCAGCTCTCTGTAGCTGCCCTGAGCAGGATCCTAGCCACTCTGAGGGTTTCCTAGGACTTAGGAGGGTCCCCTCTCCCCTCTCCTTCTCTGTCCACTGCCCTCCTGCTGATGACAAGTCTGTCCTACACTGCTTTGGCATGGTCCCCTCAGAAAGCTCTGCAGGTATGAGGAGCTGAGGCACCTATGCATAGGCCAGCCTTCTAGAGGTTTCGGTGATGCAAGTCCAGGGTGGCTTAATTTCCTCCGGTTGAGGGTCGTGGGACAGATGGTCTCACTTCCCGCCATACCTGGAGTTTCATTACAGTCGAAGCTTCTGTTTAGATCTTTGTTTCCTTCACCTGAGTTCTGAGTGTTCACAGCCCTGTGCGCCGGGGTGGGGAGAAGGAGAAGAGGAAATACCACAAAAATGAAGCTTGTGGAGTGGTTTCAAGGAAATTCTGGTGCTGTTTTGAGGCCTTTGTCACTAGAACTGTCAGTCTAGGCTTGTCTGTACCCCACTGTGGTAAGAAGGGTAGAACAAACACGGCTGCCAGTGGAACCCCTTGTTTTGGCCCAGAGAAGGAGGTTTAGAGGCTGAGGTGTTTTGTAAATGCCAGGCCAGCTGGTTGAGGGCTCCTTGCGGGAGAACTCAGGGATTCAGGTTTGTGGATTTGTGCTCCTTCAGGTGATTATTAACAAGGAAAAGTGAGTTGATTGATTATTAGCCAGAGCAAACAAAGGCCAGGCAGAGTGATCCTAAGTGTGGGTTTGATATCTGGTTCTCCCGCCACCTGACTGTGTGACTTGGATGTATGTTTAACCTCTCTGCACCTCAGTTTCCTCCTGTGTAAAATGGAAGTAGTGAGGATTAAATGGCCCACCGAATGCTCGTAACAGTGCGTGGCATGGAATAAGAGGTTCCCTGTAGGTTAGCTATTATTGTTGTTGTTAGAGCCCAGCATCCTTTACTTTCACTTTTATTTGAGAGACTTTGCCCCCATGAATATCGCAAAAAGGACTACTGGGTAGAGATGTTTCCAGCTCTGGCATCTCTCTTTTCAGAGTGAGCAGTGGGCTGCCCATCTGGGCTGGCATGCGGCCTTAGGGAAACATTCTCCATGACAAATGCTAACAGCGTGTTTGGTGCAGCAGCAGCTTTGGGATTGATGAGAGCTGGGCCAGAGCGTGTGGCTTTGAACTCAGCGCTTTGGCTCCATTGTGTGGGGATTAAAATCCTCACTGACTATGGAAAGGAGATGGAATCCTCTGGCATTCATGTGGGTATAAAGCCCACCCTATTGTGGAGGGGCAGATTGGTGTCAGTGTGGAATAGGGGTCTGACACAGCCCCAAGAATGGCACCACCTGGCAGGGCTGTGTGGCTCCTGAATCAGAGTCCATCTGTTAACAAGATCCACATTCAAGTTTGAGAAGTATTGGTCTACACGGCTGTGACCTTACCCACCACAGGTGGCCTGGCATTAATTACTTCTGATCTGTGTAGATACATACATTTTTTCTCCTTACCTGCTAGTGGGATGATACTGTGTGTGCCACTGGTTTTCATCCTCCCATCCCCCTGACCGTAGGACTGTCTGAGGACAACAGCAGACTCCCCTCGGTAACACTGATTCGGGGATCAGCAGGATCCCTGGGAGGCTGGGGGATTCCATCACGCTCCCCTGTGAGAAGTCCTGGTATATGCAGCGTTATCTTCTGTCATTTAACATATTTTCAGCATTTTCTCCTTATTTAATATTTTTCAAAAGCATGTCTTTCATGGCTGCAGGTAATAGTCCATCTTAACAACTGTAATTCATTTGAGTAGTTCACTGTTGTTAGACATTAAGTTGTTTTGATTTCTTTTGTGGGGGAGGGCGTTCTGTGGGCTATTGTAAGTATGCTGAAGCGAGCTGCTTACGCAGTAATATTTCCTTCAACTCTGATTATTTCCTTATGATAAATTCCTGCAGTGCAGATACTGAGTCAAAGACATGAACATCTTAAACACTCCTTAAAATGCTCAGCAGTGTAGGAAGTGCCCTGGCACCACTCTTCCAGGCACTGTGTAGTGGTCCATAGACAAACTGTGGGAAGCGGGGCCATGCCTCATCCATCGTCCCACCTCCAGGCCTGGCTTAGGGCAGACTTTGAGATGTCACTCTAAGGGGTACTGGGGGAGTGGAAGGGAAGTTGCGGAAGGGCAAACAGCTGCCTGTGGTGGTGGTGGCGCTCCTTTCCTCCCGGCCTGAGTCCTAGTAGATGCTGCTGACCAGGCAGCAGCCTCCCTTGGGGAGGGTCCTCCCAGGGCCCATCTTCCAGTGGTTCTGGGACATGGGAGGTGGAGTAGATGGGCCTGTAGTTCTTGAAGGCCTGAAATGACCACCCAGAAAGACCTGACTCTGCTGGACCTGATTGGCACCAAACTTGTTTTTTTTTTTTTTTTTTTTTTTTTTTTTTT